AAATTATACAACTATATATACATATATATATATACAGTATTATATATATATATATATATATATATATATATATAGCCACTTCTAGGTAAGTGGTTACTGAACTACTATATTTATAAGTCATGAAATGCTTTCACCTAGAGCTGAAACATAGCCTAAGCCACTTGACAGCCTGTGAACAATAATCTGTAAATATTTAAGTATGATATAATGTGGTTCGACTTAAAAACATTCACCAAAAAAACAATCGGGTTACTACAAGTAAATCCACATATATGTTTCCATATTTTAATTTTTTTTTTTTTAATTAAGCGCAACACCACCTGTCATGTAATGTGAGTGCAATTGTTGCTTTTCTGTTTAAACTGTCAGTCGCCACGTCAAAAACGTAGTCTCCTTTTGCATTCGGAATTAATTGAGCGTGCTCTGTCAACAAGAACGATACCATGTGTGGATGGTCCTCCATTGCGGCAAGATGAAGTGCAGTGTTCTATAGATTATTAAAAAAATAATACAAGATTTGAATTTTTAATTGTTTATTTCAATGTATCATTTGTACCGCCAGCGAATAACATCTCTTAATGAATAGCAGCACTACATTTGAAATTTCCTTTATTCACCGGATATGAAATACAGTCATAGTAATAATGTTAGTATTGCATAGCGGCTGGTTGATCACATAATGGCAGATAATTGAAATAATAATAATAATAATAATAATAATAATAATAATAATAATAATAATAATAATAATAATAATAATAATAACAATAATAATAATAATAATAATAATAATAATAGCAATATATAATAATACCGACGACGACAACTACAACAGTAGCAGAAGCAGTAGCAGCAGCAGCAGTAGTAGCAGTAGTAGCAGTAGTAGCAGCAGTAGTAGTAGTAGTAGTAGTAGTAGTAGTAGTAGTAGTAGTAGTAGTAGTAGTGGTAGTAGTGGTAGTGGTGGTAGTGGTGGTGGTAGTGGTGGTAGTGGTAGTAGTGGTAGTAGTATAGTGGTAGTGGTAAAAAAATAATATTAATTATAGTTCTTAGATAAGATATTATCCGCATCTTTTATTGCAATTTCCAAGGGTCTGATTCAGAATGTGATTTTGATATTCCATTGTATAGGCAATACGAAATTACCATTAAAAGCCTATAAAAGAAAAAAAATCACTCATTAAAACTTTTTATGAAAGCGGTCATTGTCCAAAAAATAGGTCCTATTTTGTTTCGCCGTATGGTACATTAATTATATATGTATTTGCTGAAAACTTTCGCGACTGAATCTTCACGTTATCTACTATACTATATCCCATAATACATTAACAAAGAATAGAGATTTTAAATAGAAATGTTTCTATCTTACATATATAGATATCTCTATTTACTAAGCTATCTCTATTTAAAATAAATATCTCTATTTAAAACTAAGTTATCTATTTAAAACTAACATATCTCAATTAATTGAGACATCTCTATTAATCTATAGCCGCAATCGTAACGTTATATTTAATATTATTTTAATTTTATTCAATATTATTCACTTTTATTCCCCTTTATTTAAACAGATATCTTTATTTAAATAGATATCTTTATTTTAAATAGAGATAACTTTATTCTCTGTTAAGAGATAGAGATCTCTAATTATAGAAATTTCATTAATAGAGCTATTTCTATCTATATATAATAAAAAAAATACCTATTTTAAATAGAGATGTCTATTAAAAACTAAGATTTCTCTTTGTAACTAAGATATCTCTATATAAAACTAAGATACCCCTATTAGCGATTAAATGACACTTTGGCTCGCCATACCTCCTCATCTTACTTACCCCCAATTTGTCTAGTTCATTCAGCATTGAACGTGATCTCAGAGTAAGTAGTTCTCGTGCCACTTCTGTGTGGCCACCCTTTGCAGATGCATGGAAAGGTGTTTGTCCAAACAAATCACTGCAATATAGAAATGTACACAAGTGTAAAGTAATTATATGACAAAACACGTACTGTAGCCATAAACAAGCTAAAATAGTATAGTAGTACCGTATCCATACCCTCGTGTAATTGCCCCTGATTTTAGCAGAATTCTGACGACTTCTACATGGCCATTGCCGGCAGCTTGGTGGACAGGCGTCTGATTTCTTAGACCAACCTGATTAATGCTTAACTTCGATGGTGTTTTCATCATAATCTGTATGCAGTCACTTCGACCAAGACTGTTGAAATACAATATAAATCAATCAGTCGTAGTCATTTTTCTTTTCAGTGAATAACGTTCATTCACAAGGAGTTATCCTGAAGCCAGAGGTGGATCCAATGAAGTGGGGGGGGGGCACGGGAGCATGTACCTCCCTTCCCCTTCGTCAGTTTCGCCAAAAATATATAAAAGAGGGAGAAAATAATAGTAGGCCTAAGAATAGAAGAAAGTAGGGAAGAGAGAGAGAGAGGGGGAGGGGAGAGAGAAAAGGAAGTAAACCCATGAGATCAGTAGCGAAGTGGTGGGAGAAAATGGCGCTCACTTATTGTACCATTAATTTTGAATTCTCTACTGATTGACGACAAGCACAATGCTATATACCCAACGCCGATTTTGCGTTTTACGAGTCAGGATGTCAAAAAAAAAAAAAAGACAGCGACTTAAGACGGGGTTTTCAGCCATTATTAAGCCTGGCACTCACTGTGCACGACGGTCGTCGACCGGCACGATTTCATGGAGAACGCAACGCCACGACGCGCGAGCGATGGATCGTTTTTAATTACTCGTCGTTCAGACTGCTACCGATAATCGATGTCGCGTCGTGTAATGCTCACATTGAGCGGAGTTGGATTTGTCGGCCGACGGTCGTACGACCGTCGTACTACGCAGTTACCAACCTATACTAAAGTTTACCGATGTCGGGCCAACAAAGTACCGGACGTTGGGACAACGTCTATAATCACATCCTAATATTTATTACAACCTCTTACAACGTCGGACCAACGGTGGTAACCAACGTCTATTTCAAACGTTTACCGACATCGGACCAATAAAGTACTATGACTTTGCGACAACGTCTTTAATTACATCTAACAGCGTTCTGTGACGTTGAGACAAGGTATATACTGTATAATTATAGACGTCGCAACGTCAAACTACCTTGTTGGCCCGACATCGGTAAACGTTTGAAATAAATGTTGGATACCACCGTTGGGCCGACGTTTCTTAAAGGTTGTAAATATTATGTATAATTATAGAGACGTTGTTGCAACATCACAGTACTCTGTTGGCCCAACGTCGGTAAACGTTTGAAATTTACAAATTCTAACCAACGTCGGCCCTACTGTTAATTGTCACCAACCTCCACTAACGTTTACCGACGTCGGGCCAACAAAGTACTGTGACGTTGGGACAACGTCTAATCACATCCGAATATTTACAACCTCCAACCAACGTCGGACCAACAGTTGTAACCAACCTCCATTCCAAACCTTTACCGACGTCGGGCCAACAGCGTTCTTTGACGTTGAGACAAGGTCTGTAATCACATTTAATATTTACAACCTCTAGCCAACGTCTGCCCAACGGTTGTAACCAACCTTCACTAATGTTTACCGACGTCGGGCCAACAAAGTACTGTGACGTTGGGACAACGTCTAATCACATCCTAATATTTACAACCTCTAACCAACGTGCAATAATTACCCTGGCTTCTGGACCCCATTGGAAATAAGTCTGGTGTACAATCACTACACTTAATGGGTCATCCAGGCATTCAATTAATTATTCATCTCCTTTTTTTATGTTCGTTCTCAAAATGTTATTGCTATGTGTGTGATATTGAATGCATAAATAAATCAAATAAAAAAAAACGTCGGCCCAACGGTGGTAACCAACGTCTATTTTAAACGTTTACCGACATCGGACGAACAAAGTACTATGACGTTGCGTTATGACAACGTCTTTAATTACATCTAACATTTACAACCTCTAAACAACGTCGGGCCAACAGCGTTCTGTGACGTGGAGACAAGGTCTGTAATCACATTTAATATTTACAACCTCTGGCCAACGTCGGTCCAACAGTGGTAACCAACGTCTATTTCAAACGTTTACCGACGTCGGGCCAACAATGTACTATGACGTTGCGACAACGTCTTTAATTACATCTAACATTTACAACCTCTAACCAACGCCGGCCCAATGGTTGTAACCAACCTTCACTAAAGTTTACCGACGTCGGGCCAACAAAGTACTCTGACGTTGCGACAACATCTGTTATCACATCCTAATATTTACAACCTCTAACCAACGTCAGGCCAATGGTTTTAACCAACCACCATTTCAAACGTTTACCGACGTTGGGCCAACAACGTACTGTGACTTTGAGACAACGTCTACAAATCTAATATTTACAACCTCTAGCCAACGTTGGGCCAACGGTTGTACCCAACCATCTTTTTAGTAGTTTGCCAACGTCGGGCCAGCAAAAAATCGTGACGTTGTACCAACGTACGTAGTCAGGCTGAATATTTACGACGGCTACCAACCTTAGGACGACATCGGAAAATCGACAAATATATTCATACGTTGGGCCAACATGAAATTCCAATGTTGGTTTGACGTTACCTCTCCGACCAAATTTTGCAACCAAACACCAACGTCGTAGCAACGTCAGATATCCGACCCCGACGCTTACCGACGGTTGCCAACGTTTACCAATGTTGGGCCAACGTCGCTTTGCTAGCTGGGTAATGTCCGGCCTTACGGTATGGGAGTAGTATGCCTGGCTAGAACAGCTATCCATGCTTGAAAATGTCTGTTCAAAAATTGGTGCCTTTTCTCTATTGTTGATGTCTCTTACTAGACCTAAACTTTTAATATTATAATACATGTGAGCCATGATTGATCCAGGCCCTAGGGTACACCACTCAAAAACGTTTAGAGTTTTTCACCTCCCAGCATAAAATATCCTATAGGTCCTCAATTACACCTTCGCGACGCCCGTGACTCCAGTCGGGAAGACGCCAAAACTTTGTCAAGGAACCTTGCTTTGAAATACATTTTACCATCTGATAGTGTCATTTTATGGCATCTAAAAGGTGCCTTTTCTTAAAAAATTGCTGAATGTGTACTTTTGCCAGCTTATGCTTAATAATAACAGGCTGATTTAAGTCTTCCTGATAATAACATGTACCCGGTATTGCATATTGGGTGATGGATTACTAAAACCGTACTAAACCGAGTCTCAGCGGTGTTACACTGTGTTAACATAAACCAAGTCTCAGCGGTGTTACACTGTGTCAAAACACTATCACTTTTAGCCACAAATGTTAGTAGATGTGTAGGCCCTAATTGTTCTGTGAGGTGAGGAGATGAGGTGATATTCCTTACATTACATTTCTACATAAGTGAATAATTGTATAAATCCGCAAGCAAGGTTAATTCTGTTGTCATCTAGTTGAGAGTATAGTTCAAATATTTTGCGCTTCACATTATTACTACCCCGGTCATTGCATAAAACTCATATGGGACACAATCTCAGCTCCGTGAGAATAATTTAATAATGTTGCAGCTTGCATTCTGTTCAGCGCATTTGTGTTTGAACCTCATCCACTTGTACTCAAGGAAAAAGTTAAAATGAATTTACTAAGATAGAAAACGTTTTAAAATACTCAAATGTTAACTAATTCATTGCAAAATCTATCTACAAAGTACCGGTAGTTCTAGTTCAAATTGTATATTGGATTTTGCTTACGCTGCTGCAATGTGAAATGGCGTCTGAAGCTGGTTGTTATGTAACCATGGGGCTCCACCGAGATAAAGCATTCTATGCACTTGATTACTGCCTCCGTATTCCACCGCACAATGTAATGGAGAATTTCCATCTATATCTTGAACGTTCACCAGACTAGAAAGGTTCCTTTCGACTGACTAATACAAAACACAAATAACGTTAAGCTTAATACGAACACACATAAATACTAAACACTAACAAAAATAAAGTTAGTTTTAAATAATAAACATTTTGAATGTAGGAATTAATGAACATTTGAAACATATAATTACTGATAACAACAAATAATCAACATAAATATATAGCTAGTTAAGCCATAATATCTTGATAGGCATAGACCTATTAGTATACAGTTACACAAATTAGAATGAAGCTCACATTTTGGTTCGTCTGATAGAACAAGGTATATGGTGCCTAAGATTAAGTAAACACTCAACATTCTAGATCTTTGGATATCAAAATAAGATTAATACTCCAATACCTTATAAAGAGATATCGGCATGCTAATGATTGTCGATGCCTTGTACACAACAAAATGCAATAGATTGCGTCCTTTGGCGTCAGTATTGGTTAGAGAAGCACCGTGTTCTAGTAACAACCATGATGTTTGCCAGCTGTCCATAAAGCAACCTAGTAACAGCGGTGTCAATCCATCGTTATCCTTCTCATCTAGTTTGCATCCCTGAAAAAGTCATGTTACCCAACCATTGTATTGCTCATTACATTGAATTAATTGTTGAATAGAAGGTCAAAACTCATTGCAAAGAACACTAAATGTTTCATTGTGTTCCCGTGTGTCTTCCTAGGCGTGTAATTTTAAAGTTTTAACACAGAAAATTCTACAAAGTAGCTAGTGACTATAGTGCGGAAAAATGGTCTATTGGCGCTGCGACTTTTTTCCCATAAGCCACCTGTAAAACCTTTGCCACCATAAGCAACACTGTAGATTTGTGGTAATATATTTATTAAATAATCTGATAAACCCCAATGAATATTTAATTAGATTAAAATACTTTCAAACGTCTTTGATTTGGAATACATCCCAGAATAACATACATGCTCAAAAAGTACTAGGCGTATATGTTCATATCAGCAACACAATACAGGAATTATTTTTCTTAATACAATTTAGGGAGTGCGATCGAACCGGCTGTGCACCCCTTCATTCGCCCTAGCAATTATAGACAAATAGGGTGTCAACGTATCACCTGTACGTCAGTAGATATATGAGACATGTCTGTTATACCATCTGGAGCTATTAAGTTTAGTACTTTTTGTCAAATCCTTGCTAAAATCTACAAATATGAGTTTACAGCAGATAACGTTCTCTATGACCATTTCAGTAAGTCTTCTAATAGCTAGGAGATGATATATAATCAACTGACACCACAATTTACCAAGTGTTTCCATTAATTTACCAATTCGCCCATGTTACAAAACGCGTGCTCCTCTGGTCACTGAACAGATATGTTATACAACAAACATGATAATAAACATAACATGATTGATAATAAGAATAAACCTTGGTATTTTTTCTGTTGCTACGTCTTCAAATGACAAATTAATGGTATCCCAACGCTCTAGCTGTTTGAACACAATTTTTCGGTTTTAGAATAGCAATTTGTTCAGATAATTATAACGACACACGATTGCAGTAGGTCCCTATCTTTAAGTCAAAAATGTTTGACATCACCATCACCGTATTGTTATTATCGTTATCTAAAAGCCAGGCTCCAAACCTGGCTACATTGTATAATGTTCTGAAGTTCATTATAATCATGTTATTATATTTTTTTTAATCTATTGACGCCGTTCACTTAAATTATGTACTATGTTTCTGTAGTCTATATGAATATAAAAATGCCTAACAGTTTTAATAGATAGCTTAAGGATTTGTATACCGAATAAATAAATACATTAACTTGTATTCAGAAATAAACCACATAAGCCTGATATATACGGTAGGCATTTTGAATATAGTAATTCATTAAATGGGCTATTAATCTAAATTAGAGATTCTCTTCGTGTAAAAGTGCTGGACCAATCCACATAAAATTATCCATTACAGCATGACAATATGTGTATACGAAACGGATACATAAAACTTGTAATTAGAAGTAACCACTTAAGACTAATATAGGCCTATTGAATATAGTAATTCATTTATACTGACTATTAATCTAAATTATATATTATTTCGTGTAAAAGTACATGACTAATCCACACAATTATCTCAGACATAGATAAGAACCGCGGAGACGATAAATTATGAGCTTGGACCTTATATGAAAATAATTGCCTAAGAGTTTGTTGACGAAAACTGCACCAAAGCGCTATGGTGTTGCTATTTTTTCCATTTTGTTGGGGTGGACTTAATTCAGCATAAGTGAGAATAATAATAATAATAATAATAATAATAATAATAATAATAATAATAATAATAATATAATAATAATAATAACAGCAATAATAATAATAATAACAATATTATTATTAATAATAATAATAATATAATAATAATAATAATAATAATAATAATAATAATAATAATAATAATAATAATAATAATAATAATAATAATAATAATAATAATGGGTAATAGTGGGTGGGCCAATGGCCCAGCTCCTGCCCCTTCCCCGCTTCCGCCACCGTTTGTCAAAAACACTCTGTCGTTATTGTTTCATCAAGTTTTTTTTTTGCGAATGCGAAAATTTTTTTGTTATAAATTCTAATTTCGTCGGAATCGATAAAAACTCCCTAAAATGTGACTCGGTCGGGTACTGGATAAACATTCTCTTTCCCATCCTTCTCCTCCTTCCCTCCTTTTTTTGCATTTCCGATCATACAAAAATCTCCAGACATTATATATTTTTGGCCAAAAGGTGGGGGGCCCGGTCCCCCTCCCCCGCTTCCGCCGGCCATGTTGTTTAAGAAAATGAGATCAGATTCAGAATTGATTGAGAATTTTTTACAATCTTCAACATTCAAACTTACTTAGTAACAGTTGTAACTCAAAATCGTGAATAATGGATCCAAATGATCGACAGAATATAATAAACAACACAAATTTAAAAGCAATATCAGAATATTACCCGTTTAATTAATACTTTTGCAACGTCAATGTGATTGTATTTTGCTGCTGTATGCAGAGCTGTTTGGCCTACAAAACTTTTATGGTCAATGACCTTACACCCATCCTCACTATTCAGCAGTATTTCTACAATATTCGGTGAGCCCTGAGCACATGCCATATGCAAAGCGGTGTGACCTGTATTCTGCAAAGCAATAACAGATATGTTATTTCAGCATAATTTAATATTTATTCAATATTTCATGAGATATTGATGCCAACTTTATTACATTGTTTATTTTGAAATTATTCATTTACAATAATAACTCAATCCACAACATGTTCAGTCATTGTATCATTTTAGGTATAGCAAAGTGAAAAATTATATTTATGTGAACGATTGTGTGTGATTAATTGAATGAACGAACGAATGATTAAAAAAATGCACGAGTACTAAATTTGAAAATGGTGAACATGCACGTATTAAAGAATGGAGTGAAGAACAAATTGAATAACACTGTATAATTGGCTAATTCATCTGTTCAATAATGAGCAAACAATTAAATCGAATACATTTGCGCGCGTAATGCTAGAAGGGAGTTTTCAAAGGCGAATCTATTCGCGCGACAGGAATAGTTTCGCCACAAAAAAATCGCGTGTGTGGAATGACTCGCGATAAGCATTTTTCACAACACTTTGCTATAGTTTTTCGATTGCCATGCTGATACGTACATTCATCGATTCGATTCTGTGCTCTTGGCGTTTTAAAATGATTTAAATATTTTAGCTCTGACTTGCTGCGTATTATTTTGCTTCGCAAATAGTAGAAACATTACAAAATCCAAAACTCGTCGAAGTGAACCACTAATATCGAAAAAGCGAACAATCTGGTGATGAAGGCACTCACGCATAAAACTGCCAGTGTGTCCAACGAATTCTATTCGCGAGAATAAATTCGCCAGGAAGAAAACCGGCTTATTTTGCGTAGTCTGCTTTTTTTTTTTCATTTTTTTTTTTTTTTTTTTTTTGGTTTATTTTTATTACGACTGTCGCTCAGTGGCGTAACTAGGTTGTGAGGGGCCCTGGGTCAGAAGTACAGTCGAGGCCCTTGACGCATGAAAATTGACTGACCATGTGAACTAAAATGTGTAACACTAATGCGTTAGTTTAGAAACAGGCATTTCTACGTTTTATGACCAAAAGCAAAATCAAATTCTATAGGTATTGAATAGATTTTTTTTTAATTTAGTATATTAGTTTGATATACTTAAGCTAAATAAAATGAAATGGATCACCTGGACACAAATTCCGACTGTATCTCGTATTGTACGACAATAATTTCTCTTGATTATTTGATTATTAGACTTTTTTTAACCTTGATCATGCAAAACACTTATCCGATATACATGGCAGCCAGGCACCTTTTAATAAATATCGTTTACTTACATAAAATTTCACAAGTAAAATTCGAAAATCTACATCAGATTATTTTTATTTAGTTGAAAACAAATATAAATACGATCCTAAACTTTGTGGATGAAATACATAAACTTACAGGGAAAAACAAAAATTCAAACAATATTTATGCAATTCTTGATTGTGAAAAATGTGTGATCCATAAAAATATGGATGTAAAGGAAACGAGTTATTCTGGCTCCGAAATTACTTTCCTGGAATGAAGTAAATAATTAAATGTCACAATAAAACATTGCTTTATAGAGTTTTTATAAGGGTGGGTTGGGGGGAGGGGGGTTGGGGTTGAGCCCTTATAGATCGGGGCCCGGGTTCAATGAAACTGCTGAACTGCGGTAGTTATTTAACGCATTATCAATCTCAACTACTGTTTACATTCACCAATATAACATTATTTTATTAATCTTACCTCTGTTAATTCAATAGGAGAACCATATTGTAGACAACATTCAACCATTTCAAGTGACCCACTGCTGACAGCTGAATGGAGTGGCGTAAAACCTTCATTGTCTCGAAGTCTCATCAACTCATGTTGTGCCGATTTCAGGCTACAAGCTACTATCCAGTAATTAGAGTATTATTATCAACAAGATTACAATTATGGGTACTCAATCTATTACTATATTAGATGTTCATCTAAAGTTACAACAGTGGTGGATTTAGTGAGGTGGAGCGTGAATTGGGTGGCCAACCACCCCTCCATTCAAAAAAAAACTAACAGTGTAGTTACATGGCCTTTCTTTAGAAATTAGGAAGATTGTGTTTTCCAATCCCGACGACGACGAGATTAAATTTTGCTGCTGTATGGAGAGCCTACAATTAATTCTATCGTCAGTGACTGATTTGATTTGATTTGATTTATTTCTAAATTCTCACAACTAAACAGAGTACAAAATTAAACGAATTAAACAACAATAAGAGATTTTCATGATAACCCTTTAAGCATTTCTGCTTGATTCCGAAGGGTTCCCTTTACAATAATAATAAACGCAACAATGACATATAACAAAAAGAAGGCCATGGTCTAAAATAAGCAACAATGCAAACGAATACCAAACTAAAAAATTTAAACAATTAGCTTGGAAAGAGAATTCTAAATAATTAATAAGGTAGGACAAAGATTTAGATAGTAAATAACATCATTAATTAGTATTACATTTAATTTTATTATTATTTTACAATACCTTATTATTTAAGAAATTTAAAAGGTGACGTATATCCATTTCACTATTCACCACAATTCAACTGGTAATTATGTGTAACAATAGCTGCTGCCTATGTCTAATCCTTTTCCCTATAGGCCAACTTGAATTTACTTTGAGTGTAACAACAGTAACATCATTATCATCATCATCATTAGCAGCAGGAGCAACAACAACAACATCAAAAGCATCATTGACAGAAGCATCAGCAGCAGCATCAGCAGCAGTGCCAGCAGAAGTAGCATCAGCAGAATAAGCAGCAGCATCAACAGGTCGATAAGCATAAGCAGCAATAGCAGCATCACCATTAGCTTCCTCATCATCATCAACAACAACAACATCATCAACAGCAACAGCAGTAACAGCAACAACAACAACAATAACAACAACAACAACAACTGGAACGCCAATAGCAAAGAAACAGCAACAACAATAATAATAGTACTACTAATTAAAAATTTGTGACGCGCCAATTCAAAAAACATGATTTAAACAGCAGCTGGTTTAAATGTTTCAACCATGGCCATATTCTTGTGGTAAAATATCGGAAGAGTGAACCAGCATTGTTTGAATCATTTAAAGGCGTTTGATAGCAGCAGAAATTATAGACAGAAGAGTTGTAGTAATCTTGCCTTGAGATTATGAATTCGTGAGTAAGTATCTTTTAGGATTAAGGTATTTATGGATCTTACTGATGTTGAAGATTTTAAAATTAGCAGCTTTACATACAGAACTAATGCGTTCACTGAAAGTTAAATGCTGATCAAAAGTATTTAATACATAGATGTTGCGCTCGTGTTGACTTTTGCATAGCCGTATATCGCTCTGGACGTTTGCTCGACCTGACGCTGAGCAATCGTGCAAATCGAATATATAAATTATTTCGACGATTTGAAACTAAACATACGTTTATTATTGATTTATTTTTGGTTGAATTTATTTCAATATAATTTCAAAATATACTTATTATACATTCCGACCATTGCTTTATTGTTTTGTTTTGCTGATAATACGCCACCATTCTAAACTAGTTCACCGACCAATGATCACTATTATTTGTACATATTTAAGGACAAGATAACTCCTTTTTATCTTTATCAACCAAAATACAAGAAAAATGTGACTGTGCTTGGTAAACAAAATATTTTTACCTTTTTCAACTAGGTACTTAAACGTCGTGACGGAAGAATGAGCAGCAGCAAAGTGAAGTGGATAGGAATCCTGTCTTCCTGTAGATATACCTTCATCTGCAATCTATTATCAATTAAGTATTCAAATCACAGTATCAAACCAATTGTGGTTTTCAAACAGCATTAAATTATTTCTATAACAAGATCACTGTATCAGGCTTAGAAAAAATAGTTGTTTTCAGTTTGAGAAATAATTATATTGCTATGTATCCTCAAATTCCCACAAATCCTATGTTTGTAGGTAAAACTTTACAGTAAGTAGCATGTTGTTTCATAATTTAGACCACAATTTCTTTTGTATTTTTTTTTCTAGCAATTATAAACAATCACTTTACTTAAAACTTTATTATTTTCACTGGTTATCATATCTACTAAAAAGCATACAGAACTTGCAACCTTCCTTTCTTGTTTGTGAATAACAATGATAATAATAATAATAATAATAATAATAATAATAATAATAATAATAATAATACAGTAATAATAATACAGTAATAATACAGTAATAATAATAATGATAATTAAAATAATAATAATAATAATAATAATAATAATAATAATAATAATAATAATAATAATAATAATTATCGACTTATATAGAGCATATTGTAGATACCTCCATGCGCTTACATGTTACAGGTATTTTGCTGTTAGACACACATGCAAACATTACTTTACCTGCTGATGAAGTGAAGTGATGTGGAGTGGTGTACACTCCACACCACCTTCGATGAACGCAACATCCGACATTGTAAACTTGTTCTTGGTTCAAGAGAAGCTGAAGGAGCCAAAATCCGATCTAGAATCGAATGGTTTGAAAAAGGAGAAAGAAACAATAAATGTTTTATAGGTCTAGAAAAAAACAATGCAAAAAGAAAGCATATCACTTCATTATTAAAAATGAATGGAAAACGCACGTGTGATAAAGATGAAATTTTTAAAGAACAGGTTAACTATTACAAACTTTTATACGTAGTCAAAGATATTCCTGATGAAAAAATCAATGAGTATTTGAAGAGATAAAATGTGAAAGCACTATCGCACGAAGAAAGTAGTGAATGTGAGGGTCTATTAACAGTCAATGAACTCACAACTGCTGTTTTTTAAAATGAAACTTAATAAAAGCCCAGGAACTGACGGCCTGAGCGTGGAATTTTGTAGAAACTTTTGGGAATATTTTAAAGACATTTTATGTGAATCTCTAAATTGTAATTACAATAATAATAGACTTTCTAATACACAAAGAAGAGGAATAATAAATTTATTATTCAAGAGTGGAAACAGAGAAAAATTAGAAAACTGGAGACCTATTACCTTGTTAAATGTAGATTACCAAATTATGGCTCACGCCCTCTCTAATAGAGTGCACAAAGTAATTGGCTCTTGTATAAATTCTGATCAAAAAAGCTATATTAATGGAAGGTTTGGAGGAGAAAATATTCGTTCAGTTGAAGATATACATTCATACACAAATAATAACAACAAATTTGGAGCAATGGTTTTTCTAGACTTTGCCAAAGCATTTGACTCTATTGATAGGAACCTTATGTTTAAAATTCTACACAAATTTGTTTTTGGTTTAACATTTATTAATTGGATGAAAACGGTATACACAGACACAGAATGTGTTGTATCAAATATTGGCTGGATATCAGAAAGCTTTTCATGGAATGTGGGGTTCGACAGGGATGCCCTTTATCCGCTGTTTTATTCGTATTAGTGGTAGAACTAATGGCCTATAATATAAGAGATAATCCTTTATGTAAAGGAATCAAATTACCAAATACTGATGTTAGGCATAATGCGAGCACTGTGAAAATCGCCAAACTTGCTGATGACACGGTCATTTTTCTCGCAAGATGAATTTAGTTTACAATTCTTTTTGGAAGAATGGAAGAAATTGAATCTTTTTGCAATATATCAGGTTTAAAGTTAAACAAAGGTAAAACGAAAGGAATGTGGATTGGTGCATATAAAAGTAAAACATCAACCCCTTATGACATCACGTCGACCAAAGAACCCGTAAAATTATTAGGGATATATGTAGGGTATAATAAGCAAATGTGTGAGAAAAAAAATGGTGCGATAAAACTGTCCACTTGGAAAATATTTTAAAATTATGGCAAAAAAGAAATCTCTCATTTTTTGGGAAAACAATAATTATATAAAAACTCTCGCCATTTCAAAACTTTTATATAACGCAAGTATTATAGAAGTTCCTAAACACATAATTCCAAAGGTAGAGAAGTTAATGTATAGATTTCTGTGGGGAAATAAAAGAGAAAAAATCAAGAGAACAACACTTATAAAAATAATTAATGAGGGTGGACTTGGCATGATACAGTTTGATTCAATGATAAAGTCACTAAAATTAAGTTGGATTAAGAGGTTGCTAAGCCCTGACCCAGGGAAATGGAAACACATCCCCGATGACCATGCTGAGTTACATGAAATGCCCCAATTCTATCTAGAAATGTTAAAAGCATTGGTGAATATAAACAACATAGTAAACAACTGCTGGCAAATCAATGTACATCAAAGTTTGGTTAAACTCCGGTTACAAAACAATAAAAGATATAGTAATAAATAACAGGCTAATTACACCAGGGGAATTAATTCCCACACTTTCAAAAAAACAATATGGGTTAATTGAATACTTTGCGTAATAAATGCAATTCCATCTGACTGGAAAGAAATGATTGCAAGAAATAAAACAGAAAACGATGAAACCCAAGTTAGGTTAGAATCCATATTTGATAAGAAGCACATATCATTTTTCTATATGCATTTTATTAATAATATCTCTATATCCCCAATCTCTCCATCAAAATGGATGGAGTTTAGCAATGAAGATCTTAATTGGGAAGACATATGGTATAAAAAAGTATCTAGTGTAAAAGACATCATAAAGGTTGCACAATTTAACTTATGCATCGTATTCCTGCCTGTAAAAAACGGCTAAAAATCTGGAATTTAGCCCCTACAGATGTGTGTGATAGATGCCATAGAAATTGAGACAGATAAACATTTGTTGTTCCAGTGTAGAGCAATCCAACCTGCTAGGGAAAATTTCAATACAATGATTCGTGAATGCATTTCTATTGATGAAAACATAAATGTTTTTTCCAAGCTGGTTTTGTATCGTTGGAGGAACAAACAACAAAGTGGTAAATGAACTTACGTCTCTGTTTACGTTTTGTATTTACAAAGCCTGTTTAACTAAAATATCGACAAAAAAGAAAAATCAAGAATCAAAAGTTTTGTTGGAATTTATTCAATGTTGAACTTAAAAATTAAATAACAAACGAATATTCATGTAACTTAAATAATGCTGGGAAGAAATGGGCGACTGTTTAAAAAAAGCTGCTCAATTGTTCACAAATATATTGAATGTTGTATAGTACCATGCACCTACTTGTATGTATATAGTATTCTGTAGAAATTTAAGACTATTAATTATTTGTATTGTCTGATTCCATTTACTTTAAGGGCTTATTTACTGTTTTTATTTATAATAATCTGGACCTCTCTTACTTAAACTTTATGTAACCCATTTGTTACGCCAACCAAATATCTAAGAATTGTCGTAAGTCAAAAAAAATATAAATAAATAAAAAAAAAAAAAAACATAACATTATGAGATTTTATATAATTTTTATTTCTTAATGTCGTTTTAAAATTGTTGAAATATCAAACACTGTTTCACCTATACTTTTATTTTTATTTAGATTATTTTTTTAAAAACTATGTACAAATAAATGAAAATGACATTGAAAAGAAGAATGAATAAATGTGGGTTGCCCCCACGAAAGAGAAAAGAAAACTTGTTCTTGGTGATGCAGACGTCTTGTTAAGCCAGAATAACTAATATTTCGTCATCATGTTTAAAAACAAATTACGTCGTAAAAATTGAAACATAATTTAAGAGTCTAAAATTATATAACAAATTTAAAAAATAAATACCACCAGGGCAAGCACAAAGTTGAGGCAATTGTTTTCTTCAAAAATCCATTTATCCAGAATTTATAGTTTGAATCATTAAGCTCCATGTTGAATAAGAAAATAAACACACAATATCTGAAACGTAGCTTTGCTTTTTATATGAACATGGCAGTTTGATAATAACATGCCATTAAGCCTACCTTATATAATAATTATATTATAAAATAATTTCTCTACCAGAAAATTGCGTTGTGCAGTGCAGTGCATGTGATAAGTAGTAAATTACAGTATGTACATCTAATTGTTATAACACAAACGTTTTAACAACTTTATCATCCGTCACAAATTATTTTGTGACGTATTTACATGATAATAGATATAAACAAGGAATATATATATTTTTTTAAAGAAAAAAAAACACTAGTGCTTACGTGACTTAAAACCAAGCTCTACACTTTAACTGTAGGCCCTACAGCATTAATGAACTGTGGGCTTTTAATACCAAGAAAGCAATCAAATGCTAACATCTGTTTAACATTGAATGGATTGTACAACTAACAACAAATATATCACCATATAAATGAATTTTTAAAAATACGTAGACCTACCTGAATAGAAGATAATTGAGGTAGCTCCAATAAGAAAAGTAATCGTAAACGCAGTGGATTTACGACAATGACTATTTAAATTACCTGCAATGGACTTGTATAATGAAGATTTGTAAAGCATTGAAGCAACAGTTGAGGATGGATTGCGAATATTATAATGACATGGTAAGCTGCATTGGTTATCAGGATGTATACAATTTGACGTAAACAATCTTTAATTTGACGTATAAAAGAAAACCTAATGGACCTACATCAATCAATATTAAGTGCGCAATGCCAGTATGATCCAAGAAAATTATTTTCAAGTTATCACAGTAAAACATAAAGTGACAAGATTGATTGTGTAGTAAGCAAAGTGTAGTATTTTAATTAAATACAGGCCCTTATGAAAATTGTAATGGACTGTTAACCTAACTAAGCATTGTATGCACATCCAAGGAACTTATTTGAACAATGAATCTCACGTAGTAATTCGAAGCGACCTAAATAATATAGGCCTGCGTAATTAATGCCAACAGCTCAAAGTGTTAGCCTCCCTGGTGGGCGAAGCTCGGAATTGGGGGAGGGCGTGGGTGTGGGGTATATTGTTTTCATCAGGTTCTCCTTCAGACATTTTGTCCTTCAACCGTATGTTTGTCCTATAATATAACATGAGTTTGGTTTTAAAGCTGGCAGAATGCAAGATGAAATTAAAAAGACGAAGCTTATTGTTTTTGGTACCTGTGCGATTAGCTAAATAGTCATTTACATAATACATCTATAATTCAATTCAATGACATTTTAGTATTGGATGAGTTTAAATACTCTACAAATTAAAGATTTAATTCCTATTTAAATTGGTATTATGCTTCTCATTTTTTTTTTATATTATTAAATGTTTTAACACAATTTTACTTTGTTTTTTAACGCAATGATTGTTTTAAATTAGCCGAATTTAAGATCAATACAATTTCTCCGAAACGCATAGGCCTAATAAATGAAAATCTCGTTATATTGAGTTACAGTACTTAGAACCCCTTCTTAGACACCCCTATGCAGGGGACACCCTTGTTAAGGACATAATTTTCCGTAAAATTAATTGTAACTTTAATACATAGTAAACCTCTCTTAAGGGGACACTTTTTTTTAATTATGTCACAAAATAAGAATAATTTATTCAAATTCAAATTTTTACACTATTTGAGCAATGAACCATGACTTCAATTATTTTTAAAATTATATATCACAAAAGAGTAGAGTAGTATCCTTCCATCTCCGCAACATCAAGGCAGTTAGGCGTTTTTTAAATGAAGATGCTACATCAAAACTTGTACATGCATTGGTTACATCAAGATTGGATTATTGTAATGGAGTCCTTTACGGAATACCATTAACATCAATTAGAAAGCTGCAGCTATTGATGAACATCGCTGCTCGTCTTGTCACTGGGACACCTAAATTTCATCACATCACCCCTACTCTTCGTCGTCTTCATTGGTTGCCAGTGAAACAGCGTATTGAAATCAAAGTACTTTTATATGTTTACAAATCAATTCACAAGTTATGTGAAACAGCGTATTGAATTCAAAGTACTTTTATATGTTTACAAATCAATTCACAAGTTATCACCACAATACATTTCCGAATTAATCATCTAGATGTGTATAAGAGACAGGTATTGCTTCATGAATAGAACTAACAATAGCGTTAACAGTCTGGTATCTTGTCAAAGTTAATGCT